CAGCGAGCCCGGGCTGGGGCTCGGCTCTCCCCGGGGGCCGGAGCGCTGCGCCGCCGCCCCCCTCCAGGTGCCGCCCCAAGCACCAGCTTGGGTGCCTGGTGCCTGGAGCCGGCCCTGATTGAGGGTTGGCTACACGTTTTGCTGAAGTCTGTAGGAGTCGTTCCATTCATTTCTTTAGGCTTTAGCTTGGGCCCGCAATCACGCCGTGCCTCAGTTTACTACCCGTCGGTAATGCAGCGATCCTGCAGATTGACTTCACAGCAGCTGTGTGAGGTATCATTAATAAATGGGCTGAGTTCTGTTCGCAGAATTGCTGGTGTCACTCTGGAGTCATGCCATTGATTTCAGTGGCATAGCTCCGGATTTACACCACCTTATTTTAGATTGGGAGCTTGGCCCAATTGTTGTCTGCTGTTGAAGCGCAGTAGAATTTCCAGAGCCGGTGGGTTATTAAAACACAAAGAGCTAAACATCCGGTACCTCCGAATTCTGCAAAGAGAGTGGTCGAAAATCAGGCCTCTAATGAGAAGCCAGTTTCCATCTGAGCTACGGAGCTGTCTCAGCAACTCCTTCTTTACATGGCCTGGGGCATTTCAGCTCTTTTGCAGTGCACGCAAGTTTGCGTGGAGCTGAGCTATGGGCTAGAGTCACTTAAAAACCAGGTTTCAGGAGAAATGATTGATTTGGTCTCTCTGGCAATGAGTAGGGGCTGCTGTTTGGCATGGAGGGGATACCCCCCAGCCCATGCGTTCTCTTGGGAGGATGGTGATAGAGAAAAAGGGGGGGTTTCAGCACTATGCCACACCAGGCACCTTTCCTTGGGCATGATTCTCTTTTCTCACCGGTGTGAATCGGGGCTGATGCCATTGGAGTCAGCGTTACATGAGCATAAAGCCCGTGTGAGGTTAGGTGCAGGCCCTCTCGCGCCAGCTAGTCCACTGCACACATTCTCTGCGCATACGCCATCCAAGGGGACTTTTAAAATAAAGTAAGAGAGTGTGTGTGTGTGTGTTGGTGTGTTGGCAATCTGGAGATCAGGGCTTGACCACACTGGGTGCTGAGCACCCTCTGCTTTCCAATGCGAATTCAGTACGAGTAGATGCTCTGTGCCTCAGTTTCCCCATCTGTAAAATGGAGCCAATTATCCTTACGCACCTCTCAGGGGCACAGTGAGTTAAATGCCGTAGTGGGCCAAACCTCCAGCTCGTGTAAATCAGCAGAGCTCCGCTGAAGTCAGTGGCGCGCCGCGGACGAGCTGAGGACCTGACCTCATGTCTCTGAGATGCTTGTAGCTCCTCAGGTGTCAGGCACTGGGGACGGGGGAAGCATTGGGATTGAGTTTGGGTAGTTGCACAAACACTGGTGAGCAGCACGAGGAAATCGAACAGGCGGGAGGCACCGCGGAGACTTGTAACCATACATTTATTATTCCATGTGGAAAGGCCTTAAAATGATTACACAGATGCCTGACAAGATAATCACGTACATTTGATAAGAACATCGACGTTTATAATAGAAAAGCAGAACTGGCCACTTCGCTATGGCTTCTTACAAACTCGAGTCCACCTATTCACAAGATAGGCTAAGAAGAGGGGGCCCGATCCTGCGCTCACTGAAGCTAAAAGCAGCAGAATCGTCCTCAGTGAGAGCTTTGCTAATGACTTCAATGGGAGCAGACCCCCTCCCTCCCCAGTGACAAGTGCTACAGGTAAAAAGATGGGCTACATATTAAATATAGGGAGTTACCTTCAAGTAGGGCTGGTATATTACACAAATAACCACATTATTTGGTATTACTAGCATTTTTGCAATGGCCATCATAAAATTCCATTTAAACAAAACAAATAAACCATCTCGGCCATCTTTAGCTACAGAAAGAGCTTTCTGCTATTCTCACTTTTTGGTTGGTTCTGTTTTTGACCCTGCACACGCAAGTATAGGAAGCATTATTAAGAACTGGATCCTTCAACATATTTAAGAATTATATTATTATAACAAATAAGACCAAAAAAATTAGATTTTACAGTTAAATAGTTCGTAAGCCAGACAAAGGTTTTACTGGACAAGCGATTGTGCATTTTTTTTTTTTTAAAGCAAATGATAGTGCAAAGCAAATTCTTTTGGCCAGTCTTGCGACCATTTGCATAAAATAGAGGTGTCTGTATTTACACCTTCATATGACAATATGTCATAAAGGAACATAGTTGCAAATATTTTTTTTTTTTTTTTTTTTTTGGTTTTTAAATACTCCATGAACACCATTAAATTGGTATGAAGAATTCCTTATTTTCTTTGTGCTTTCTATCAGTGGAAATATTGTATTGATGAACTTGAATGCATCAAAAGACAGGCTGCCATTGTCCAGTTTGACAGACAGATCTCAATCAAGAGGCCTGGGCTTGCTGTTTGCTAAGGCAAGTGGAGTTTGCAGTTTTTAAATCCATGAGTGGTCATTGCAGCTTTACAACTAAATCCAGGTGCGTATGAGTTGATGTCTCAATCCCATATTTAAATGGTAGTGCAATTTCTCTGCATTATATGTCACTTGATTGCTGGAAAGATACTCACTGAGATTTGACAAGCCAACCATCTTTGCTTTAGCTGTGGTGCGTAGGATGGGATTTTCAAAGGCACTCAAGGGCTCATTGAAATTCAACCTTAACTCACTCAAACATAAGCCACCAGATGCCAAAGAATTCTCATGATAACTTTAAAAAAACCCCACTGAGTAGTAGCAGTTTCATAATCGGTTAAGGGGAAAAAAGGGGCAGTTCTGGGCCTATATCACCCTGCCAGACAGATACTTACTTCCAGCCACTTGCTTTGTTAAATACTCACAGGGTTATTATGAACTTAGAACTAAGTGTCTGCATTATTATTAATGCATCTCATCTGAAGTGGCTACACAACTACAGGAGACCTCTAGTTCAGATCCTCAAAGATACTGACGCACCCAGCTGCCACGGGGCCGTCCTATTTAACAAGACTGGGAATCGAATCCTAGGCCCTGACTCTCAACCGCCCGTCGCCATGCGCAGTCATTTCCAGCAGTGCAAAGTGGAGGGAAAATGCTTCCAGTCTGGTTTAGTAGCATTTTGTATCCATTTTGCAGGGGTGTACACGTTTCACTGCTACACGGGAGCAGGACCCCCTCTGCTTAAAGTAGCTATTGCAACACACGCGTCCTGGGTTCTGGTCCCACCCACCCCTGCCACTGGTGTGCTACGTTCAGTTTTCTAGTGTGGCAGTTCTTACAACCCAGTTGCAGGCTGATGTGGCAAACTGTTATACAGGCAAATGTACTTTATTCACAGGAGTCGTCTCATTGTCTTCAATGGAACAACTAGTGTGAGTAAGGTTGTGTTAGAATCAGGCCCTAATTCCTGTTTGAAGGCCAGGGAGCTAACTTTTGTCAGCTAGCAATGCGGAGGGGCAGTATGGTCCAGGGAGATCCCAGGAATGCTGGGTTCTAGCCCAGACTCTGCCACAGAGCTACTGTGTGATGTCCCCTGTTTACTTCCTTGCGCTTTGTCTATTTCAGTTGTAAGGTCACTGTGGAGGATGGTCACCATGTGTCTGTGCAGCACCCAGCACGATGGGCCGTAATCTCAGCTGAGGCCTCTAGCTGCTGCTCCGTTACCAGTGGTACGCGTGGGTCAATAGTGCCACTGAATGTGGCCTTAGACAAATCCCTCTACCTCAATTTACCCGTCTGTAAAATGGGGATAATAATAGTGCCCTAAATCACCACAGGGGTTGTGATATGAGGAATAATTATGCTAAGCACTTTGAGATGAGAGGTGCTATAGATTATGATTTCATTTGTCTAACCCCCCCCCCCCAAAAAAAACAGGGAGTTACATTTTATTTAAAATTGAGGGGTCATTCAAATCTCAGTCAGTACTTTAAGAATCAGCTGACAATCTCCTTTCTTTAAGCACAAATGCATGGTGTGTTGAGCCACTCTGGGTGTAAAAATGGAAGAGAACCATAAAATAAATACTAAGTATTGCCACAGCTGCCTGTGTGCCACTTGGAAATGAGAGAGGAGAAGCCGCTATCCTGGATTTCATATTATTCCCCAAAGGCTTCCGAGTCCTCTTTGCAGCAAACATGTTTGTAAGTGCACCTCACACACTGGATTGTCCCAAACGCATTCTTCGTCTCGGACGCAACCATCGAGACTAACTAGAGTAGCAAGAAATTAATGTCCATGTCAGGACAAAAGGAAAACACATTGTGTAAAAAATTACATCTCATGTAAACATATGGGAAGGGGATTGGGGGGATCAGCCATGTTACTGTTAAAAACAAACAAAAAATCACAATACAACCACTTTCAAAATCATATCACAGCACTTGTTCACATGGCTGATACCTGCTCACTCGCTAGCAATGTTCTTCTGAGCCTTAACTGCGTCAGCGAGAGCCAGTCACATCTGTTTTGCTGTAAACAAGACTCACGTCTCAGCTGATGCGGGCAGCTCTGGTATCCTTACTGAGTTCGTTTGGTGGTTAAAGGCCCTTTTCTAGAGGGGGCGAGTGGCTAAGGCGTCTTAGTTCATTCTTCCTGCATTTGCAGAGAGATGGACTGGCTGATTTCTGGGGGCCTTTTTAAAATTTCCTCTAACACCTATGATTCTGCAGGAGGGCAGGGTTTTTTTGATTAAGAGCGAGATGATCGATAGGCATTCTGAACATAGCCATAGCTGCGCAATTAACAAACATCTGATTCCACACACTCCTATATACAATCCACCCATTTCAAAGAGACCAAAGGGACCTTACTGAGTGACCAAGTCAAGCCTTGTGGACGTGTGTCTTGAACTGTATACAGCTCTGGTCCGTCTTTGCTTGCCAATGACCTATATTGATGAAGGAAGGATCCTGACTTGCCTTCAGATTGGGAGGCGTCCCGTGCTAGGCCTCATTTTGCTCTATTCGCGCTTGACAGGAGTAACACATTGGTGGGTGTTTTATTCGGTTCAAGTTACACGTTCCTAATAGGGTCTCCAGACAGACTCATCCATCCTCCCGGTGGTCGTCATGGCCGTCGGCGAGTTACTGTGACTACCATCCGCATCCACTCCATCATTCTGATTGGCAAGGTTGGGATTCATTAAGTTGTTGCCCGCCGAGGCACTCGTGCAGGAGGACAGCATCCTGGTGGGCGAGCGCTCCCCCCCTGCCACCATGGAGAACTGGTACGATCCGGACGACGTACCGTAGTACAAATGGTAAGGGGAGGGGTTGGTTTGGAAGGGTCCACTTTGGTTCTGGGTGGAGCCAGGGTAGGGTGGCGGAAGGTAGGTATGGTGGAAGCGGGTTGTGGTGGGCATGCTGGTCATACTGATGCCACTGATCCCCGTGGCTGACGGCGTGGCGGTGTAAGGGAAGGTCGCTGACATCGCGCCGGGGTAATGCATCCGGGGGTCGGAAAACCTGGTCTCGGCGAGGGTCGGCAGCGTGGGAAAGGAACGATCAAACTGACGTGGGTCGGAGAAGGGGCTCAGATCCGACGTGCCTGTTTGCAAGAAAAAAGAACATTGTCTGGTTAGGCTTTGCCTGCTGGAAAACGAAGCCCACAGCTGACGGGCGCGGCTTTAGGGTGTACTTGGGGCTGACGCTTCACGCGCAGAGGGAGTGATTTGTCCAAACAGGGTCCTGTGAACAACAAGTCCAAAGGTCTATTCCTGCCTCTGCAACAGGAAAAAAGCCACACTGATCTAAACACCTTTATACAGGTAGAACTGCATCCACACCATGGGGCTGCGCTGACTCCATAAAGGGATTGCATCCACACTGAGGGACAGCACGGACTTAACGGTATTGGTTTCTAAACCGGGTACAAAAGTGATACAAAAACTGGCTGCAGACCAGCCCTCGCAGCCAGCATTAGGTCTGTCGCTAGCCTTTCTAGATGGCAAAAGGAGTGCAGCCTTTACTCAAATCAGTCCGTGAAACTGAAGAAATTCTAACCTATGCCCCATAAATAAACGATTTAGGAGTGTGAACAACAAAACACAAAGTAGGGATCTAACACCAATCAGCAGTTGTGTAACAAAGTAGTGTTACCTAGTGGCTAGAGCATTGGCCACTGGCTTAGGAAATCTGGGTTCTATGCCTGCCTCTGCCACTGGTCTGCCGAGTGATTGTGTGCACGTTACTTCAGCTCCCTGTGCCTCAGTGTCCCTATCTATAAAATGGGGATAATGTGCTTGGTAAAAGCTCTTTGAGTTCTATGGGTGAGGTATCTTTGCACAGCACTGTATAGTACTCTACAGCATGGTACACAGCCTGGTGTTGGTGCAGTAGTACTTGTGTCTCCAGCACAAGAAAAAAAATTCGCAGTAAGAGGCACATTCTAAATCTGCAGTTAAGGAGAGTTGTGGAAGCTAAAAAAAGTCCTAAAGTCATTTGTTTAGGCCAGTCCGGTTTCCTGCCCTAAAAGCTGTTGTTTCTTATCCACGAAAGAACGGGGATCAGCTTATTTCTCTAGCGGTTTATCCGTCTCCAGCAGAAAAAAAAAGAAGTTATAAACACAAAAAAATTGTTTAGCCATTGCGTGGGCTGTGTAGCAAATAAACCGGCACAGGGCCCCAGACAGCCAGTCCCCGAGCCAGTCAGTCAGGCCCCCTTGGTGTACACACACGCACAAACAGAGCCAGGGAGGGAAAGCCGGAGTCTAGGCCAGGTCGTTAAGCCTTCGTGTGGGTGGCCTGTCCATGCTGATAGCATCAGGGGATGGAGCTGATAAACACACAGCTGAAAGCTCCCAAGCTGAGCCACCACGTCCCTGCTGCTTTTTGCCTCTGTTGGGATAAAGAGTGGAAAACTTGGTTCTTCTGGCCAAAAGTCAGATGGAGGGGCAGTGAGGCCGATATAAAGTGGCGTCCTCTCTAATGCCCTCAGACATTGGGGCAGCCCCCGTCTGTTTGGGGGGAGATCAAGGAGATATGGAGCCACCCTTCACCACTGCAAACCCAAAGGATTTCCCAGGCAGACCAAGCTAGGAAAGGGAGTCCAAGGTGGCATGTTTCCCAGGGGAGCACTGAGCCTTCTCATGAATGTACCAGACTTCGGCAGCTGCCTTAAGTTCTGTGTCATTTCCCCCTGGATTCCAGCACATCTCTGGGCATGGGGGACCTGCTACAAAGCAAAGATGAGCCTATACCCCTAGGTGGTATGAGTCACTGCAAAGCCCACGAGCTCAAGGGCCTAGCGTTGCCCACCCTATGTTGACCTTCCTGCAGTTCATTGCGGGGGAGGGCAAGATTTAGCCTCATGGTTCTTGACCCAACTGTGAAAGCTGCTGGTGGGCCAGTTACAACCTCCCAGTCCCTGCCGGCGGGTCATGCTGTACAGTGGGCAAGACGTCTTCCCAGCATCTCCACTTCTGGGCCCTTGGACTATTCCTGATCTAACCAAGCAGCAGCAGGAGAATGGAGCCGGCCAAAGGAGGTACAAGAAAGGGGCTTCCCTCAGCCCCATTCAAAACACCACCTTCGCGTGAGACTACGGTGCAGAGCAGCTCTCCTCAGATCCATGGTCTCCACGCAACGTGACCTTAGAGTCCCAGCCCGAGCCACAGGCTGACTAGCACCATTGATTTCAATGGAGTGGCACCCCCTTACACCGGCTCTGAATCTGGCCCATCGGGTCAACCCTGGCTGCTCTTTGTCAGTCCCAAGACCAGAATACTGTAGTTTTTTACGGTAGCTTTTTTCTGTAATGACAAAATACAAGTGGTGGGATCCTTCTCCATACATGGCTGTACAGGGAGGGCGCTTTGTAGGTTGCACTGTATCCCTAAGACATGAGCTTCCTGAATGCCAAAGAATGACATGTCACTGGATTAGGCAGAGGGAAATAATACAGTTAGAAGCTGTGTTTCTGATCTTCCTTACACTGGTGTGACTCTACTGACTTTTAAGGCTTCACTCCTGATTTATACTGGTCTAAGTAGCTGGTCTAAAGCTACAGACCACAATCAGAGCTGGCCTGTAGCTTTATATCAGAAGAAGAATTATAACAGTGAGATCCTTGCAAGTGGGTAGGAGTGGAGACTTATTTTAAAGGCGGGGAAATAGATTAGGCTCCCCAGGGGTGGATGTGAGGTGCAGTGTAGTTACACTGCCTTTTTCTTAGATGTGAGGCTAATAAATAAAGCCCAACCCAGATGGTGCTTTTTCAACCCAAAATGCTTTACAAATTATATGTATATATTGTAAAGCAGAACAAAATCCGTCCATCCACCACCAAAATACAGCCCGGCAATGTTACTCAGCAGTTTGGGACAGGAAGTGAAGAAGAGGGCCCTGTCCTACCATGAATGCAATGGGATCTTAGGGCAGAAGAAAGGAATGACTCATGTTGGAATTTGTCCGGTATCTCCTGCTGCTATATCCCCTTATGCTGCTGGGAGAGGCACTGTCCGATTGTTAACCATTGCAAATGACAGAAAGACCTTCACTTTACATCTCATCCTACAGGCAGGATCTCTAGCAGCACAATATCCTCCCAGGAAGCCATGAATCCACAAAAGAGACGTGAAGCACCAACAGCCCTTCCTCATGTGCCTAGGCGTTGCTTGGAGATCTCCCATCCAAACTTTGGGCTGTCTAGACCTGCTTAGCTTTTGACACCTGATAAGTTCCCAACACAAGAAGATGGCATGGCTGCATAAAAGGAACAGAGCCGTTCCGTGATAAGGTGAAGAGCACCACCTATTGAATCACAGCCCGGTCCCCTCATTGCTTCCTGCACATGCAATGTCATTTGTAATCTTTGGGCTCTTTTGTCACGTTCTCAGGGAAGCAGCCTCCAAATTTGCTACATTTCTCCCAGGGTTAGGCCATCCCTGGGAATTCAGCTTCACACGATGGGTCAATTCAGATGATGACTATCTCACATTAAATGGTGAGCAGACCGCACCAAGCTACGGCCCAACAGCTGAGCCAAGAGGCAATTACTTTCCTTCATTATGTTTCATATGCCCATAAATAACATTCCATAAAAAGCAAATTGAAATAAAACGTAAGTTCTCAGGGCACATTTCCCTTTGCCTCTATCATACACTCAAAAGGGGGTTATTTTTAAGCCAACTTTTTATTGGTCTGTACTTGCAACACTTGGCAATCCACACTTGCTACTATTTAGACGCAACAGTATCAAAGTGTTAATTACAGGCCCTGTGCAGGGAGCTCTGTGCAAAAGGACATGGCTAGGTCTATGGAAACTCCTTCTGCGGCATGCGAATCCGGCTAGCTTTCCAGGTGTCAGCGCTTACACCTCAGAACAAGCCAGTGACACAGAGATAATGAGCCAGATCAGGGCCGGTGCTATCATTAAGGTACCGTGGGGGGGTGCCTAGGGCGCGAAACTTCCTTGCACCGGCCCTGAGCCAGATGCAATGGTATTAAACCAGGAGCAGTATGCTGCCCTCTTTACAGAATGCAGGCTCAGTAGTGTTGAGTCTTTGCATGTTAAGTAGTGGTATGAGTCTCATCCTGAGTCAACTTAAACTACAGTGTACACATTGCAGGTTCGCTGCAACACACCTACGCCTCTAATAGTCTATATCTATGTACCTCTGACCACCGAAATACAGCCACCTCAGTGCTGGCGTGCCACAGCGCAGAGCGGTTTAAAGGCAGGAAGTGAAGATGAATATCTTGGCCATCTGAAACTATGGGAGGAACAGGAGGGGCTGGACCTAACTCCCCACGCTGGAAGTTAGCCAAGAGACCTGTGCTAACATCACGCTTGCAAACAGTGGGCAGGCCCTGGGTTTAACATCTTATCTGGAAAAAGGTTTCAGCTTTTACAGAGCAGCAGTAAAACTTGCCCTGATTGTTTGTTTTTCAATTCTCATCCTTCATCTCTGGGGGCTTTGTCCCGCCAGGAAAATCCAAACAGTGGCCACGGAACACCACACCACCTCTCCGTATAATGGCAGCCTTTGTGTTCTGAGTCCCCACTCCCCTCATCCCACCCACCTGTCTAATAGAAAGGCAGAGAAATGGCTCCATCCTGGAACTGTAGCCACTTTACACAGCCTCGAAGCCAACGGGAAAGTGGGAAATCTCCTTAGGGCAGACGGGGGAGGTTGACAGGCTGGAGGGACGGGTAAAAGTTTCCTGGTGTGCTGAATAACAGTGTTAGTTCTATTTATAGCCACAGTTGGGTTGTAGAACAACCTCCCAGGGATCAGAACGGGTGTGCTGCGGATTAGCACTCCCACGGAATATCCCCGACTGCTTGGGAGCCCGCAGCCTACACGCCCGGAACGGGCAAGGCCCCGCTTTGCATAGCCACACGTACAACTAGATATCGTCGGGCCTTTCCGGCTGTGATAGCACTCATTCCAACAAGGCGTTAATACAAACGCTGAGTGGAAGGTGGGGCACCGAAGGGCTTTAAGCTCAGGTTTTCCGAGGGGAAAGGCATTACCCGCCAGGCCTTAATGATTGAAGCTTTTTGTCCCTCACCGAGAGACATGTGTCTATAGTACCTACAGCTCAC